TGTCCCCTCCTCCACTGTCACTGCTGGCTGGCTTCCAAACCACCCTCCTTTCCCCTGTCTGTCCTCACAGGCTCTGAGTGTTCTCCTTCCCCTTCCTGCCCTCAATCTGTTCTCATACATCAGCCAAAAAATGGCTTAGAGACAGGACTTCTGTCACACCGTCTGCGCATTCAGGACCTCTGTAAGCCTTCTTTTCTTACCATGGCCTTCAAGATCCCACACAACCTGCCTTGCTTGTTTTATATTGTTTGGTTGTTTTGGGGTTTGTTTATGTTTTTTTATTTTTGGTTGTTTGCCTGCTTTTCAGTCTTTTACTATGTAACCCAGGCTGGCCTTGAACTCACAGTGCTCTTCCTGACTCAGCCTCCCAGGTGTTAGGATTATAGGTGTGTGCTCTTTATTTATCCGTGATAGGGACTCACTGAGCACAGGCTGTCTTCAAACCTGTAATTCTCCTGTTTCAGCTCCTTAAAATACATCTCCACTCACCCCACCCCTTCCCCCCTATTCCTGTGACAGAGGTCTTTTGTACTGGACACTCTCACGGCGGGACTGTCTTTCCCAGACACCTTATGAAACACACACGCAGACACTGGGTCCCAGGACACTGTTTACTTTGCATTACCAATGCCCCTGCTTGGCACTTCACTGTGTGATCCTTTGCCTATTTATTGTCCATACTCTCCACGAGAACAAGGGCGCTATTAGGATAGGGCCATATCTATCCCCTTCTCTGCTGTATCTCCAGCTCCTAGAATAACACTAGACACATAGTCTAGTTTGGTATCATTGTTAAATGAAGACGCTAATGTTTCTTCATGAGCACCACCGAAGGGCAGGGCCAGCAAGATGACTTAGTGGGTGAAGGTGCCTGCCAGCAAGCTTGATGACTTGAGTTCAGTCCCTGGAAAGCACGAATGAGAACTGACTGCCCCTAGTAGTCTTCCGGCCTGTACTCCTCCTCACACACAAAGTAAATAAGACGTAAAAGAAATTTAAGAAGAAAGAATGAAATTCCAAGGACAAGCGACGATACGCAGAGAGGGCCCAGCACAGCTTTCCAGTGGGTGGGGGGATTTAAACCGAGGACCAAAAAGTCACTTTAAAGGAAGTGACATTTTGGCCCCACTTAACTAGGCATGAGAACGTAACACACGCTTGGGTTCCCCACAAGGGAGGTACCCAGCTGGGCTCATTTCTAGACCTAAACCATGGGGATGTTTGCAGACAGCAACCCTGAATGCACCCCAATATCCTGCAAAGACAATGAAAAGGCTGTTCTTCGGTCTAAGGAGTTGCTTGTCCTGTTATCCTGGGGTATTCTTTTAAAGCAAGCTCTAGCCAGGATCCTGGCCACTGCACTGCCTTGGGAGCCTTGAGACTTGCCTGGGAGCTGGGACAAAGCAGCCACCCCGGGATGCCTTGGGAATCTGCACGGGCTGCTTGTGGCTCTCCATCAGAAGTCAAGACTCAATCCTTAAGACAACGGTGAGGCGCTGGAGAGTGGCCTCTTTTATTAGGTTCACGCTCTTAGCTGCAGAGAGACTAGAGTGTTTGCCCATAGTCTGAAATACTCAAAGCCCAGGGAGCTGAAAAGAGAGCCTTTAGGCCTCTTTGTCACCATTAATCCTGGTCCCTGCTGCTTTCGACCCTTTTGCATCAGAAAGGCTTTCTTGTATTTTTTCCCCCTTTTTTAAGAGGAGGAGAAACAGCTGTGCGGGATTTGAGACTAGGATTTTAATGGTCACTGACAGCACACAAAAGCTTTACTGTGTCAGTGAAGTGTTCTGGGGGCAATTGCCTCCTTTGTCCGAGGGTAGCAGCACAAGCAGGCCACTCAAGGGGAAGAGAGAAGCAACTGGGCCATGTGATCGAGGTCCCATCCAGCGCACACGCACAGTGCCATTCCCAGGCATGCATCCTGGTAGTCAGGGTTCCGCCGTGTGTTCCTGGTGGAGGAAGCCAATGTATCTGGAAGGTGTGTGGCATGGCTTCTGTCCCTGGGTCTTTCTGTATGGAAACCGTGACTGACAAGATGGGGTTGTTTGCAGGCCTTTCACCGTGGGGAGAAAGAATCGGTCTTCTTGACCACAGGGCAGCCCTTTGATCAGTTAAGAAATCCCAGCTGATGTGGGAGGATGTGAGGCCTCTTCAAGTGGAACCTTGACAAGGGATGAGGGTTGGGTAAGTAGCTTCAAGGTAGAGCCATACGCAGACAGTCCTGGGACCATCCTGGTACCCTGTGCAGCGAGACACAGGTCTAGGCCTGAACATGGGCACGGTGTTTTCCTCCAGAGGAGCCGCTGGTGCCGATCGTGATGATCCGCCTCCACGTAAGGACTGACTTTGCCGCTAGGATCACAGTTATAACTTAGGTCTCTGCCTCCGGCTCTTCTTCCACTGGAAATGGTGCAGGTCGGAGGCACTCTGGTCAGGCTGGCATCGATTTGCTTTCTGCCAGCCTCCATGACAGCTCGGCTGGAGAAATCTATAAAAGTTATTCTCTTATTTACCAGCCCACGATAGACACTGGGATGAATGGGTGAGATCCAGCATGATGCGTGGATGCCTTGTCTGTAACTCAGCCCAGCTTTTCATGAGACATGGGCTAGAAGCGGCGTGGTGGTAGAAACCAGATGAGGCTGTGGTGTAGAGGGTAAGTCCGAAGTGTAGACTCTGCCACGGACATATGCACCCTGCTCATTATAATACTGAATGCTGAGGGAGCAAGGTGGGTTCACAGTTAAGATTTCAGTTATAACAAAATTACAAACTTTTTGAGGGCTCAGTGCTCTTCCAGAGGACTTAGGCTTGATTAAAAGCACCCATATGATGGTAACAACCATTTGTAACTCCAGTTTCAGGGGACCTGATACCTCCTGTGGCTCCTATAAGCACCAGGCACACACACAGTACACAAATATGCATAAAGGCTAGACACCCTTACATATAAAATAAATCTTTTTGAAAAGTCACAAACTCATATAAAAATAACCCACAAAATTTATAAGAGAAAAATATGAACAATATCAAGTGTTAAGATTTAAATGTAAGTGTAGATTTTATTGGTTGAGTACATCTAACTGTAGAAATAATACCTGAAATATTGCATAGCCTCATTCTGATAAAAATAAAACCTTATTTTAATAATATTTTTGAGAGAATAATGAAAAGTGTGAAATAAATGACTTTCATTTGTTTATGAGACTGGGTTTTACTATGTAGGCCTTAAACTTGCTGTGTAGACCAGGCTGGCCTTGAACTGGCTATGCAGACCAGGCTGGCCATGACCTCACAGAGATCTGTCCATCTCTGCCTCTTGAGAGTTGGGGTCCCTAGCACTGAACATTTTGATGAGAGATCATTTACCTTGTTTAACCCTAAGGTTCCCCTGCTCAAGCTGCCCTTAGAACATAGGATAAGCACCCCCTCAGACTGCTGAGATCTGCAACAGTCAGCATTGTCTGTGCCTCCTCTCTTCTACTTCCTGGAAGATTTAAGTTCTAAAAAGAACATCTTCTCGTCAGCCCCTTAGCTGCTTAACAAAGGCCTGAGCTTCTGTCTCCTCTTTTCCTCTCCTCAGTCAGAGTTCAGGGTGCTAACCATTAAACCAGGGAGAACCCCCTCTCTTAGATTCAAAGCTCTGAACCTCACCAAAGATGTATTCCACACAGAGGCTGTGAGACTTCGGACCAAGTTGTTTAGGCCCCTCTTCCTAGGCTCTCTTTCTGCAAACTGGAGCTAGTGATGCCACCTGCTCTCCAGGGCTATGCTAAGGGATACATGCCATAAACAGGAAGCACCTGCCATGGTGTCGTGTACATAGTAGGTACTTAATGTCAGCTACACAGAAAGGCTGTTTGGGGGCGACCACAAGGGTGATGTTTGACTGCTGAAATAGGAAGCCAAACTGGGTATATTTACTTTATTTTCATGCTGTAGAACAGGGCATAAATCCTTATTTAACTAGCACCATCAGAATCTTGAATTAACTAGCCATCAGAAGCATAGTCATGAATTTTCTTATTGCTTATTCTTTCTGGAACATTTACAAGGGTTTATGCTTTGGAATGCATTTTATTGTGCATCTGAAGTATGCTGTTTTATGAGACCCTCAAGACCTTACCCATGCAGTGGCTGAAGGAAAACACAGCTTCTGATGGGATTGCTCCTTCTAGTGACTACCCCCACCCCACCCCACCCCCACCCCAAAGAATAAAATCCCAGTGTCTGGAATTCAGGAACTCCATTGACCTATTCCCAGCTCCCCTTCCTTTTCTTCTAATATGGCCATGCAAGAACCTCTGGGACAGCTGTTTCTGCTGGGGAGATCCTAGCCACCCTTCAACTAGCCATCCTTCAAGACCTGACTCAAATATGACTTCCTTTGGGAGGCCTTTCAGGATGCTGCCAGGCGGAATTCAGAACACCTCCCTCAGAGCTGGACCTGTATGTAGCTCAGCAGTAGAGTGTTTGACTAGCATGTGTAAGGCTGTAGGCCCAATCCCTAATACTTTCAGGTAAAATACACACACACACACACACACACACACACACAGAGAGAGAGAGAGACAGAGACAGAGAGAGAGAGAGAGACAGAGAGACAGAGACAGAGAGACAGAGAGACAGACAGAGAGAGACAGAGACAGAGAGAGAATGAATAATTTTCACCTTTATTCTCCTTTGAGAGCCCTGTAAACTAGGGCAACCCTGAAGTTAAACAAACAAGCAAAAACCAAACCAAACTAAAACAATCAACATGATATTTCAATATTTCATCATCAAGTGCTATGGCCCCAGGCAGCCAGCTGGACTAGGGAGGTACCGACCTATTAGATGGGGTGATAGGAGTGTGAACCCAGAGACAGTGCACACTCCGTCTTTAAGGGGTTTGCACGGGGAGTGTGGTCCCTCTTCACCCAAACACCCTCATCTCTAGCACTCACCTCAGCTTCCTCAGCCTCTGTCCCACACTGAGCAGGCTCTTCCCCTTTGGTTAGTCAGGTGCAGGGCTGGGACGCATTATGATGGATTACAAGAAAGCTGCATTTTCTGTCCAAATAGAACCTTCCAAAATGAGGAAGGACGAGTCACTTGTGAGCCATACCCAAGACCAGGAAACCTTGGGGCCCTAAAAATCCCAGAAGCCTGGAATGTGTCTGAATGTGGCGGTAAGGAGTCTGTCCGTCCCTTCCTACTCCTCCAACCCCAGTGCCATTGTTTAGACCAAGGCCAGGGGCACCCCGAAGTCTCTAGCTGATACACACTGGACCTTGGTCTTCCCACAGCAGAGACCATGTTCATTATCAATCCTCTAGTGCTTGGGTTGGCACCTGACGCCCTAGCTGATGCCCACGGGAGCAAATGGATGAAGATGGGGACACAGCACCATTGGTAGGGTTTGAGTTCCAGTCCTGCGTCCGCAGGGCATGGTAGTGGACACCTGTAATCCCAGTACTTGGGAGGTGGAGGCAGGAAGATCAAGAGTTCAAGGTTTTCTTTGACTACTTGGTAAGTAAGTGTGAGGTCAGCCTGGGCTACGTGAGACCCTGTCTCAAATATAAAGACAATATGGGCAAGACATTGCAGAACAATATAAATCCTATGCTTACATGCTTTCTTCACTCGGTAAATACATGCACTGCAGACCTCAGCCATCGCTTGCTCTAAAGAGCCCCGGTTAGACGAAATGGGTCACAAAACAATACCAAAACACATAAATCTAGAAAAGGGACAAGTAGTCATGAGGGGGCATTAATAGAGGTGAGAGGGAGAGAAATGTGGGGGAGAGAGTAATCGGAATACATTGGATCCATCCTGATATAAAATTAGTAAAAAATTAACTGGAAAAATCCCCAAATAAATCAAATAAATAAATAAAAATAAATCAAATCCTCAAATAAACCAAAAATTCCACAAATAAACAGAAGGATGTATTTAAGTGAGGCTGCAGGAGACACAGACTCTCTAGAGCATCTTGTTAACGACAAGCCGCTTCCTAACGAACAAGAGCTTCTGGGAGTCCTTCATTAATGTCTGCCTCCTTTCCCCACCTGGAGAGGGGAAAAAGGAACCACGCTTAGAGCCAGTGTCACTGGGTCCCTCTGCCCATGTGGGGTGAATTAGTTAGGTTTGGTCGACTGACTGAGTTCGGCCAGACACACCTCCATGCAAGGAGTAGCTGGTGCAATGGGAGGCCCTTTAAGTCAGGCCCGACAGTTTCTAAGTGAGGTGGGCTTCTGTGTCTCATAGCCAGCCTGACTTTATAGCAGAGGGTGCTTAATCCCCCCTCACTCCATTCCCACCCCAGTCCCACCCCATTGCAAGCGATCCCTGCTTAGGGTGCCGACCAAGGCTCCACACATTAGGCTTTTCTCATACTAGAAGCAGATAGCAGACCTCTTGGTGCCCGTCTTTGTGCTGGGCTCTGTGGGCCTGTGTGCACTTGCCCGCCTCCTCCTGAGGATCCCGGTGAGGCTGGCTGGGTGCTTCTCACTGATGTGTGAACTGACGTCAGCATGGGGTACTGGGCCTCACAAAGGGGTGGGGAATGGCCTCCCTGAGGAGCCTCCCTCACCCAGGGCCATTACTCCCTCCAGGTCTATGCCAACCAGGGGAATATTCAGCAGATGGATTTGCCCCTTGCCAACTTTGTGCCCTGGGCACCTTTCAGCCTGATGTGGGCCGCACATCGTGCCTCCCATGTGGAGGAGGTCTTCCCACTAAACATCTGGGAGCCACTTCCTTCCAGGATTGCGAAACCAGAGGTGAGTACTTGCTTGCCCCTTTCTGGACTCCACTTCTCTCCTGAGTTCCCAAGGGTCCCGTGAAGATGTGACCCAGTCTGGGCCGCCCCAGCCACCTAGGCTGCTCACACAGGTCTGATAACCGGGCAGCAAGGAGCAGGTTTTACAAACAGATCTCCTGAGCCCCACCTTCTAATCCTCCTCTAGCTCAGTGTCCCGGCCTAGCTGCTCGCTCAGCACCCCCATTCAGGCCTACCAGCCCCCTCCAGGTTCCCACTTCCCTGCCTCTCCCAAGGGAAACGCAAGTCACCTTCAGTCTGTACCCCCATTGTTCCCACCCCGAAGATTTAAGAGGTGACCTCGCTGCCTGGTCCATGCATTCGATTGCATTTTGACTGTTACGAATCCCGCTCGCTCCGGCTGCTGAGGGAATCGAGTGTTAATTAATCGCAGCTTGCAAGGAGAGCAGTATTTCAGTTAGGCATAATAATTTATTTCATAGGCCTTGAAGCGTTTGATTAAAAATAGTCTTTTTCTTCACAGTTCAGTGTTCGCCTGGGCATTTCTACAACACCACCACACACCGATGTATCCGCTGCCCACTGGGGACATACCAGCCTGACTTCGGAAAAAATAACTGTGTTTCCTGCCCGGGGAACACTACCACGGACTTTGATGGCTCTACCAACATAACGCAGTGTAAAAGTAGGCTTTTCTCTAAGGAGTTTAACAGGCTGCATTAGAGGGCAAGGGCCTGGATCAGATTTGGGCAGGGGGTGTGAGGAGGCGGCGGCTGGGGTTCCGGGTTCATTCAGGATCATGTGTATGATGTTGGACTGGTGCTATGGGAGAGAGGGATGCAGTCCTGGCTGTTAAAGTGGGAGCTAGGACTAGGACCCAGAAGAGCTCACCTTTTTTTATGTGTGTGGGGCGGGGGATTGAAGCAAGTGCTGAAAACAGTGCGCCCTGTGTCCCCAAGCTACTCCAGCTTCCTCTCTACACTTCCGGCTGGACTTGTCCCTGGAGGATAATTTTAGTTCAGCCTAGCTCAACATGCATTGTCTGAGGGCCTGCTCTGTTCCCAGCATCCTGCTAAGTCAGCCTGGCCAAGCTGCCAGGAGCCAGGCTGTAGGAATGCAGAAGGAGCAAGGGACTGGTCTCTGGAGGAAAGGTCTTTGGAGAGCAGGGAAGGAGGATGGGGCAGATAAGAGAGAGCTCCATGTTCCAGACAGCCCGCAGGGAAGCCGAGGCTTAGGCAAGTCTGGGAGCAGACTTCCGAACCTGAGCACAGAAGAGCTGGCGGGCCAGGAAAAGGAGGCCTGGGATGTCATGCTAGAGTATAATCTGTAGTTTCAGGCCATTTAAGGGCTTGCTAACGTGGGCATTTCCTACATTGCCTGCTATGTGAAGTTCTGTAGTGAAGGCCACCTAATAGTGACCACCATCCAGACTAGTGAGGAAGCCCCCGGCCCCCACACTGGAGACGCTTGGGGTTGAGAGGAGCATGGAGTCAGTGTCACTTTATGGTGAGAGGTTATCTGGCTTTCTATCCTGGGTTAGTTGGTTTGTGTTTTGTTTTTGTTTCAGTAGAGGAGCTTGAACTCCTAGAGCCTCGTGCATGCGAGGCAGCAACGTTACCGCTGAGCTACAGCCCTAGCGCCAAATGCCCTCTCTGTCTATGGAGTTGTAGCTATAGACACTGCTATTGAATATATATTCGACAGCAATCTCACTGCCGTCCACGGGGCCTCATCTGTTGGTAGACGAGATTTTGGGAAGACTCATTTTCTAGGGAGTTCTTCCTTATACCAGGATGACTCTGTTCCCAGTCTTCCCGCTAGGCCGTGGCTGTCCATCGGGAGACACGGTTTCCCAGGTTGAATTCCACGACTCTCGCTTCCCCTTTTCCTCTCAGAAGAAAAGCCTAGTTATTAATATTATTTTTGTACTACTGCTAAATCCAAGTCACAGTTTCTAGTACAGGTTTACCCAACAGTATTAAATAGTAAGTTCCCCGAGGAACTCCTGACTGGGTCTGTAGCTGAGCCCCAGATCGTTGGGCAACATGTCAGGGAGCCAGTGCCTGGCAGTAGCGCTGAGGTCGTGAGCGTGCACCCATGAGTTCTTTTCCTTTGATGCCAGCTATAAAAATATTCCATGTCCAAGTGCATCCAACAGCTGATTGAAACTTCCTTCTCCACTGAAAAATAAGATGTGGCTTTAAACAGAAAAGTGAAAAAAATGTTTTATCTGCATCAAAAAGGTCTTGGTCAAATATTCTCTACTGAGCTGTGAGCTGTGTTCTGAGTTCAGTGTTAAGGTTCTCCTGACACACAGAATTGTAAACAAAATAGCAAAGATTAAATGTGTCAACCTTGGTGTCTTCAGGCTTGCAAGGTGGTCTGCTTTGGGGAGTCCGGGCTGCTTCGGGGAGTCAGGGCTGCTTGGCACCCACAGAGGCCATGAGCACTGAAGGACAGGCATTCTCTAGGTGGCGTCATTTCCTTGCTATAGGGAGTCTGTGACTCTCCACTACCCTTGGGGTGTCTAGAAAGCAATGACAGTGTTTTGCCCTCCTAACTCATGGCACTTCCTTTCTAGACAGGAAGTGTGGAGGGGAGCTGGGGGATTTCACAGGGTATATTGAGTCCCCAAACTACCCTGGGAACTACCCTGCCAATTCGGAGTGCACCTGGACCATCAACCCACCGCCTAAACGCCGTATCCTGATCGTGGTCCCCGAGATCTTCCTGCCCATAGAAGATGACTGTGGCGACTACCTGGTGATGCGGAAAACCTGTGCGTCTCTCCCTGGGCTCCCCCCCCCCCAAGGCAGCCTGGGAAACCTGATGCCTTGCCCCTCCCCCACCGGGTCTGTGACCTTGGGTGGATGTTCTAAGCTGGTGGGTCAGGTTGGAGAAATCCTGTCGCTGCCTGGTAGGGTTGTTGGGACTAAAAGAGTTCAAGTTGTACAGTGCTTGGAAGGAGTCATGTGTTTTTTTCCCTTCCTTCCTTCCTTCCTTCCTTCCTTCCTTCCTTTCTTTTTTTAAAATTTACTGGTATATACTACTTTTATAAAATAATGAGTTTTGCTGGGCGGTGGTGGTACACGCCATTAATTCCAGTCCTTGGGAGACAGAGGCAGGCAGATCTCTGTGAGTTCAAGGCCAGCCTGGTCTACAGAGTGAGTTCCAGGACAGGCTCCAAAGCTACCTAGAGAAACTCTGTTTCAAAAAACAAAACAAAAATGGGTTTCATTATGACATTTTATACATGTATGTGATATATGTTTTGATCATATTTTCCCACCATTATCCTCTTGTGTCTCTCTCCAAGTAATCCTCTTCTCCTTCTCAGTTAGTCTCTCTTCTATGTTTGCCTTTGGGGAAGAAATTGTTTTGGTTTTTTTGACCTAGGAGCATGGGCAAGATGTTATTTACAGAACAAGGGCACCTTCCCAAGGACCACACAACTAAAGAAAATGTCTCTCTTCCACGCAACCATGAATTGTACAGATCACGGAGCAGAGGCCCTGGGGGGTGGTGCAGTCATGAGCTCTTGCCCTCTCCATGATGGAATGTTGATAAACTCAGTCTTACACATTCTGAGTTCAAGAGTGCCATGACTGTTATTAGTGGTTCAAATGGCTGAAGTCAGACGAGGGTTTGGATGCTGTCCTTACCACAAGCCCTCATTGTAACAGAGGTAGTAATTGGTCAGCCTCTATGGTTTTCAGAGGAATCAATGAGATCAAGCTCATAGAATGTGTAGTGTACTCCCAGACAGCTACAATAAGGGGGTGACTCTTGCTGGGTATCAGCACTGGGTCTGGATCCTGGGGCCATCTTTCTATTCCTACCCTGGACGGGATAGCCTGGGTTGTGGCTGTTTGTCTGCTGAGGGCAGGTGGGGCTTACTTAGCCTTTCCTTGGGGTAAAGTATAATCCTCAGTCAAATCTTCTCTATTTCCAGAGAGGGAGAAACAGAGAGAGAGAGAGAGAGAGAGAGAGAGAGAGAGAGAGAGAGAGAGAGAGAGAGAGAGAGAGCGGG